TATTGAGAAAGAGTTGAGGTTCAGTTTTAAAACGATAAACTTCAAGTGGCTATTTGCTGTTCTCCTGTATTGTATTGCTACTGTTGCTGCTGATCCTCTTCTTCCTCTTCTTGTATCGTTAATACCAGGTACACTTCGAGACTTTGATGTAGCATCTCGTATCGGATGTGAAATAGAAATGAAGCAAGTTTCCTGCTGCGGAATTATAGTGAAAAACTTCTGTTACATATATGGATAATTTGCTTATGATGCGTGTATTTGTCCACTGTAGTTAAGTATTCTGAACTCCAATGGACTGTTTGTTTTAACTTATGGACTGTGTTGGACTGTTATAATAGATTCTAGAATTTAGAACATCAATCTGATTTAGTTAAACTAATTAGATGTGTATTACTGGAAGCATAAGAGTTCTATGGCTAACAATTTGATTTAACTTGTGTTGATTAATGGAATCTCAGTTTGCTTTCATATATATTCCACTAAATTGTTTTTCTAGGATATAGTTGATATTGAAATCAGTATGACGGCCACTTTAAGTTTGATGGCCTGGAATTCATTATTATAGTATAAGTGTTGGTAATTCTGGATTAATAGTTCATAGCAGTAGTTAATCGAATTGAACATGCCTTATTAATAAGACTGCTTTGAATCTGCTCGTGGATGTTAGTAGAATCAAATAATTGAGCTGTTTAGTCCAAAACTCGATCCCTCATTAGGAATCACCATTAGTTAAACAGGTNCAACGAAGTCGAAATGTGTCGCTAATCACGGGTACATTGATTGTGACGTGGTTCGAGATGCATTTCCACGACGTTGCAAATTCCTTTTAAAAAATATGAATGAGACGAGCCTCGACAAACAAAAATACACAAGCTGCGGGGCCCTCTATACGTGGTGGAAAAATTACTTAGACTTCGGGATGGACCGTTTAGCAAAATTTTACGGCCCTACCCAAAATAATGATACGCTAGTCACTTTAGGCGCGTATTTAATAATGTTATCTTCTTAAACTCGGGTGCACATTTATGTGACCCAAATCCAAATCTCAACAGAGTTAAAATGTGTCAATAACCACGGGTGCATTGATGTGACGTGGTTCGAGTTGTATTTTCACGATGTTACAATTCTCGGTAAAAGTAATAATAATAAAAGCGGAACACAGTTAAAATTTGCACATAGGTTCAACCTGTATTAAAATCAGATAAATAAGCCGAATATGACAGTTGAGCGACAGTGCTAAAACCACGGAACTCGGGAATGCCTAACACCTTCTCCTGGGTTAACAGAATTCCTTATCCGGATTTTTGGTTCGCGGACTGTAATACAAAGTCAATCTTACCTCGATTCGGGATTCAACCGGTGACTTGGGACACCATAAATCTCCCAAGTGGTGACTCTGAATTAAATAATAAATCCCGTTTCGATTGTCTTTTAATTAGAAAAACTCCCCCTACGCCTCTGCGGGCGCAGGTGAAAAAGGAGGTATGACAACACCATAGAGATAAAGCTAGATATTCACAAATAAAAGCTGCGCAAGAGGGGAGAAGTGTAGATACTAAGGTTAACCCTAGTACAGGGTCAAATCTAGTTCAACCGGAAATTAACACTATTACCGGTGGCATTTTATATTATGATCTAAATAAAGATCGTGAAGAATTGGCAAAAATGGTTACTGTTATGTGCTTACCCTATAGTTTTCCTTCTAACCCTCACTTTGTGCATTATATTAGAAGAGTTTTTAATCCTACTTATAAAGGATGGCCTCGCGCAACCGTAAAGAGCGATATTTATAAATATAAACATGAATATGAACAATATTTGCGCTATTTATTTACTCATATAGATTTTCGCATTACTATTACTACTAATATTGGTAAAAGTGGTAATGACTGTGATTATCTAACTGTTACAAGTCATTGGATTGATGAGGACTGGATAATGCAAAAGCGCATTATTGCTTATAGAATAATTAATTCACGCCACACAGGTAAGTTTATTGCTAACACAGTTGCAGATATTTGTAGATATTTTTGCATTAGAGATAAAATAATGTCAGTTTCAATGGATAATGCTTCTAGTAATACTAATACTATAGGCTTGCTTACAACTACACTAAATTCTGCATTTAGTAATATTTTCCATGTTAGATGTAGTTGTCATATTTACCATTTAATCGTCGGTGATGGTATAAAATTTTAAATGTGGAAATTAAAAAGGCTAAAATGGCTCTTCATTGGTTTTTTTATTCAAACCGTAGAAATAGACTTAGAAAATATTTTTAAAAATGTGATGAATTTGGCCTTAGAGAAAGAAAGATTCCTAAACCTTGTCCGACTAGATGGAATTACATGTATAAAAGTTTAGTTGTTGCATATGAATATAGAAACCAAATAAGCGCAACATTTAATGCTCGTGTTGGTGGTGATGATGATGATGATGAGCACCTTACAAATCAGGATTGGACTAATATCAAAATGCTTGTAGACTTTTTAGAACAATTTCATGTTGCTACAAATGAATTATCTGGGCAATATTATCCTACTATTTCTAACTGTTTAGTTTATATTGCAGCACTTGCAGATTTATTTACTCAATTTTCAGAGGGTGAGGTAATTATCAACTTGCTATTAATTCTATGAAAGATAAGTTTAAAAAATATTTTTTCCCTATCCCCCCTATTTTTGGTGTTGCTGCCATGTTAAATCCTACCATGAAATTAGGAGGTCCTCACTTTTGGTACACAAAAATTTATAAGGCTTTATCACTTTCAGATGAGGAATTTGCTACACTTGGAGATGCAAAAGCCTCAATTAAAATAAATGCTCCAACAATTTATAATGCTTATCAACTTGCCTTAGATCATGCTAGACCAGATGTTCCAACTCTTACTTCGTCTAGTTCGCAATCATCTAAAAGAACTGCGAGCCTAAAAGCACTTAGTTCTTGGACGGAGTTCAGGGGTTCTCAAGGTGATAATATTGGTGATAATTCACAACTAAATGAGCTTTAAGTTTATTTGTCACAGGGACTTGAATCAGAGAATCCCGATGGCTCCTTTGATGTCTTGGAATGATGGAATAAGCACAACAAGGTACTAATACCGCCATTAAAAGGAAAATAAAACTAAGGAAGATGTGCCAAAATACAAGTTACATATTAGTCTATGTATTATCTCTAACAAATTTCATAAATCCTTCAAGGTCCGGAGGAATTTCTGTTGGTGGTGGCGGAAAAAAAGCTTGTTCATCACCGCTTCCGGGAGAAGCAGCATCCTGCGCAAGTTCCGCTAGCATTTCTTCATAAGCTTCGTCTATCTCCGGTTGTAATTCTGCAAGTCCAAAATTTCTTCTTTTTGAAACATGCTATATGGGGAAACATTCTTGGAACTCAAAGTAAAAGGGAAAATATTTTCATGAAATATGACATCTCTAGATATGTGAATTTTCTTAGTGGTAGGCTTAGTATTTTGTACCCCTTTGTCCCAAAAAGATATCCTATGAATATATGGGAAGTTGTTCTGGGCTCATATTTGTCCCTATGCACTTTAGTGCAAACAAAGCTTCTTAAATGAGAGTAGTTGGGTTTCTTATTGTACAAAAGTTCAAAAGGGAATTTGTTATTGTACAAAAGTTCAAGAGGTACTTGTGTTTTCTTTCCACTACCCCATTTTGTTGTGGTGTGTAAGGGTAGGTTTTCTGATGAATGATCCCTTTGGATTGGTAGAAAGTGGTAACTTCATGATTGGTGAATTCCAGCCCATTATCTGATCTGATGGTCTTAACAGATGTGTTAAATTGATTTTCAAACATGGCTACAAAGGCCTTAAGGGTTTGGAGAGCGTTGCTTTTGCAACTTAGCAAATGTGTCCAAGTGGACCTACTGAATCATCCACTAATGTGAGAAAATATTTGTAATTATCATAAGTATTGACAAGGTAGGGACCCCATATGTCAACATGTATTAGCTTAAATGTTTTGGTAGAGACATTGGTTCTTTGTGGGAAAGGAAGTGTGGCCTATCTAGCTATGGGGCATATTGAACAAATGAATGGTTGTCTAGGTGAAAAGGATATAGTATGAAAGATATTCCTTTCATTTTGACAAAGGGAATATGACCAAGCCTATTGTACTACAAGAGATTTACATCATACTTATCAAACACAACTGAGGACTCATTCTTATTATTGTGAGTGAATGTATTTACATTTGATAAAAGATGATATGAATGAGTAGGACTTCTGAAGTCTTCACTATTTACACTAGTAGTGGAAAAATAGTTGCAACAAGAACCAGATACATCAAGATTGGAGAAAGTGTTTTTACCCTTTAGACATCTGGAACACAAATAGTACATCCCCTCCCTCCTACAACCAATCACCTGAGGCCTCTTCACTGAAGGGGCTTGTAACATATACAGTACATTAGTGAAGAGTACAATACATTTAAGATGTACTGCAAGAGGATGGACAAATATTAGGTTATATTTGAAAGAAGGGACATAGAGGACTTTGTGTAAGATGATATTAGAACTAAGTATCACATCTCCAAATTCAAGTACCTTCACCTTATATCCATTTGGTAGGCTGATTAATAAGGGATATGGTAGAGTAGTAATGTTACTAAGTTCTTTTCTATTAAAGGCCATATAGTTAGATGCTCCTGAGTTTATGATCCAAAGGTCAGACTTTGACTCAAAGCATTTGCATGATGGTTTGTCAAAATCAATAGAAGAAGTGCAGACCACAATACCTACGAAGTTGGCAGCAACATTAGTGATGTTGGCATTGTTAGATGATGCTCCTATGTTGATTGTCTGAAAATGTTGCAGAAGACTCATTATCTGCCCATAATGTTCCTTTGTTAGTTTGACATTTTGATCCTCTTCATGTGTTACTGAATCATCTTTCCTCTCATGAAACACATCAGCTGGAACTCCATGTACATTTGCCACAACTCCTTTTCCTCTGTTGAATTTGTGACCTTGTGCCTGGTTTGAATTGTTATTTTGATTGAACTGTTGAGTATTGGCTCCATTAGGATTTTGATTGTTGTATGAATTTCCTTGGGGATAGCCATGTAACTTGTAAAATTTTTCCTTTGTGTGATGCGGTCTCTTGTAATAGTCACACAATGGACAGCCTCTGTTGTTTGGAGTATAATGTGTCTTGAAATTTCTAGCTCCAAATGGACTTTGGTGTTGTGTAGGTGTAGCATTCACATGTAATGTAGTAGATTCTAGGTTCAGTTGACTACTTGGCCTGAAATCTCTTTGTTTCTCTTCATGTATTATGAGGGAAAAGGCTTGTGCTAAAGATGGTAGGGGTTTCATCATCAAGATGCTTCCTCTCACTATTGTATAGACCTCATTTAGACCCATCAAAAATTGAATAAGGCGTCGATATTGTTTTGCCTTGTGCATTGTCTCGTTTGATCCACATGTGCAAATGCAACTACACTGAGATTTAGCCTTAAGAGTGATTAATTCTTCCCACAATCTTTTCATTCGTGTATAGTAGGCAGTAATATCTAATGATCCCAGAACAAGGTCATTGATCTCCTTTTGGATCTGATATAACTTCGCTCCATTTGTTCGATTGTATCGGTCTTCTAGCTCCCCCCATAACTCAACAGATTCATTTACATACTCAACGCTATTAGAAATCTCCTTTGCGAGGAAATTTAGAATCCAGGAGGTCACCATGTCGTCACATCTTTCCCATTGGCGGAATTGAGCTGAATTAGGGCTAGGTTTCCTACATTCCCCATTGATAAACCCTAGTTTGTTTTTAACCGATAAAGCTCGTAATACACTTCTTCTCCAAGATTGATCACGCCTAACAATGCCTTATAAAAGGACAAAGCGGTAATGAGCACTCTTCTTACCATAACTCTCTCCCGAGTAATTACGACAATTTATTAGACGCACTATCCCGATTTACGCTAGCTGGATTTTATTGTAGCTCACTTAGATCGCACCCAAGGTTTTGTTATCCCTAATCCCACCTTTAAACCCTTGGTTATTGATTCCTCATATACTTTGGGAGTGGTGTTGTACAACAACTACCTAAAATGCACTCTCTCCCGAGTAATACATATTAAATAGGCATAACTAATTAAGGATCATATCAATTAACTACAACAAGAACGTAGTTGAACAAATAGAGATTAAACTGGGCAAACTATATTAACACAACAAGAAATTCATCCCTCAATAGGTTCCATCAAAACCCTAGACTAAATAATTAGCTACTCATAACTATTTTCATAATAACAATAGCAAAATTCATCATGAATGATAAAAACAAAAGGAATAAAGGTAGAACTCGTTGGCGAATTATCCTCCTTGCCTCTTGCCTCTTGCCTCTTCTTGCCTTGAACAAAACTATAAAAACCTTGATATCCTCTTTTTGGGTGAGCTAGACCTCTTATAGGTTAAGTGAAATTACCCCCAAACATCCAAGTTTACCCCTGAAATTTCTGTGCTCCGGAGTGACTAGCGCGGCCATGCTCGAACCGCGCTAGTGGCCGCGCTTATGGCGTTCTATACTGTCCCGTTTCTTCTGCTCTAGCGTGGTCGCGCTCAGCCCACGCTAGAGTGGATTAGCTATTTCTCTATTCTTTTCTTTCCTCTTTCATAGGTACTCAACTCCGAGGGGCTTTTCTTGATTTAATTTAGCTCCACACACTGTTCTAAGTCCTCATAAGCATGACTCTCTCCTGCAAAACATGAAATTCACAATTAGAGCCATTTTATCGTCATTTAACCTTCCTAGAACGGTGAAGCATAGTTAAGTTGGGGCATAAATAGTCGTTAAACTACATGAATCTAGCCTATTATCCACACCCGACACTTAAATCATTGCTAGTCTCCGAGTAATCCACCATACTCTATAAAGGTTCCTTCACTAAGCTTTTCCCTAACGTCTCATACCAATAACATATCACCAAAGTTATGTCTAGTAGTGTAACATATTTGCCTCAAGAGTCGACTCTCACGTGCCGTGCAATATTCATACTTACTCAAATTACTCTATACAGAGGTCAAGACTTATCTTTCCTTCATGAATCAAATCCCTCACATCATACAAGAGAGTAGTTCGACAAGTAATAATATTAAAAAAAAATTAGGAACTCAGATAGACAAAATTCACTCACTCTCAGAAAGAACATTCATATGCCACAAAGATGCACCATAGGCTTGCCCATAGTGTACTACTCTACTAATCGAGCTCATTCAGTCTAAAACCAATTAGGACTTCATTTGGTTGTAATGTAGGCTAAGGGACTGGTACGATATATTTGGATATAGTGACTAACCTCCCTAAGCACTTTTAATACAATCACTTTTGCATTCAGAACCATACTTATGTCAAACCAGACATTCCACCCCACTTCTATTTATATTACCCCAAACTCCTTTTGGTGCAATTGTATCAAATCACCACTTATCAAGGACTACATTTACTTATTTTCTTTTCTCTTTTTTTCTTTTTAAGTGGCGCTTATTCTTTTCTTTTTCAAAACACTGCACCTTTTTTCTTTATTTCATTGGTTCCACTCGAAAACCAAACCACCACCCCACACTTTAACTTTTGCATATTTCATAACCATTCAAGTGCTTATGGGAGGTAAAGGGGTTCAAATAGATGGTCCGTTCAAACACTTGGTTAAGGTTTGTAATGTGGTTGCCGAAGAAACAGGCTTATAGGCTCAACGGGGTTAACTACGATGTATCTCATTTAGGTGGGTCTACTTTATATATCTGGCTTAACAAAGAAATGCCTATATCACTTCTAAGACTGAATAAAGCTACTATTTCGCTTTGCAAACACACAGGGCAAGTTCTAGGCATCAAATGCAGAGCATAGAATACAATACAACTCACACACACATGGCACATGACTCACTCCAGATTGGCTTATCAAAATACTCTCGTTTGAGTACTCAATTCAGTTACAAACATACAATTTAAGGAACTCTAACAAGAATCAACAACTGAGACTAAGCATCACACTCTAGTGTCTACTGTGTTCAGGTGTATCAACGTTAATGGTATCTCTTCCTATCTCGGATCATAGCCCATAAGTACCAACTAAAAACTAGAAACAAAATAAAAAAAAACTAACTATACCTGGTTCAAGCAAAACCCTTGGAAAAGAACTGTGACCCAAAGAAAAACCAAGGGGGAGTTACTACACTACCTAAAACAGAAAATCTTTTTGGTATTTTATTTAGACTTACTTCCCTCAAGAAAACTGTCTAGAAGATCCATCATCAGGAAGAGTCCAACATATTTCTAGTTTTTTTTTTGAGATTTTCTCGTCGACTTAGACCCTCAAGAACCTTGCCGAAAGAGATCAGTCGTCAGGACAAGTCGACTTACCTAATTCGACTGCTACTCAAAGCCACAAAACCAAAGAAAACACAAAATAATCAAGTTTGTACATATATACACATACACCGAAGTATCCCCTACCCCACACTTAAAAATAAGACATGTCCTCATGGCATACAAAATAAAGAACTGTGAGGTAAAGGAACTTCCCTAATAGATCAATCTTGATCGGAGACCGTCCCCGAGTCCAGATGATATGCATGACCCAGATCTAGCAGCTATCCCATTATTTTCTTCTCAGATTTAACCTGCTGGGTGGCCTCCGCATCAACACTCATACCTAAGTCAGTGACCAAGGTAGGGAGCCCTACCACCTCCCACTCTAAGGCTACTAACCGGGTAACCCGACCAACCTCAGATGGTCCTGCAGCTTCTGCAATCTGCTCATGGGTGGGTGATTCGACCCTTACTTCCTCCTGTTCATCCTCCCCCTCCTCATATGCATCGGAGTCATCACTATTATCAGCTCGAAACTTTGCCTCCCTCAGCACTTTCCCATTCACATTCAAATTTTCCGGCACCCGAGCTGCCCTGCAAAGCCTAGTGACTAGTGAGGGGAAAAAGAAACCATACCTCTTCACCGGACAACGTGTAAACATCTCCTCGTGAATAAGCTTGGCCACGTCAAAGTTGTGACCATTTATAAAGCACCAAATTAAAGGAGCTCGAGGAGCATTCACTTATGTGGTGTTAGAGAACGGGAGCAGGCAGTTGTTGATGACATACAGCCAGCACTTCCCTTCAAAGGTGAGTGCCGCTGAATGGAACTTCTTCCCATATTTCATCCACACAATTTCCTTATCGGGTACACATATGGTTTCAAAGAACCTCTCCCACTGAGTGTATTTTCTGCAATATAGTTCATAATAGTTGTCCAACTCCTCCACTGGTGCGGGCAGCCGGTATATCCTCTGAATAGCTTCAATAGAGGCATCCACAGCCTTCTTGCGCACTGTTACTACACCATCCACATGTTCTTTAACATTGGCATAGAACTCACGCACAACCATCACATTTCCCATCATCTAGTTCTTCAAAGAAGATTGGTAGCCCACGCCTGACTAGCTCATTATACAAGTTGGGACAGCCAAGTTGGAGCGACCCTATATCTATGCCCCTCTTCAGTATTGGTTTCTTGGAGGCCTTATCAGCAAAACGGTCCTGAGCCGCGGCGGAGACGAACCTGTTACTATCAAAAGGACGAGCAGGAACTGAAGAGCGCGCTCTAGAGTTTCCAGCTTGACGGTTGGATGAAGCACCAGCGGTTCGGCGTTTCCTGGAGGGTGCCATAGTACCTGGAAGAAGAATATCATTAGCACAGCACAAAAAAATGTGACTCAACTGCGGTTACTCAGACTTCACCCTTACAATTGGTCACAATTATCATTGACACTCATTGTGGCATTTTAACAAACACATTGTGGGCATCATTTACCGGAACTCCAAATTAATCATGTTGTAACCCAATAACCACCACAATTTCTCCAAATTCACCCAATTAAGGTAATATATACAACTCCACAAATACCACCACCCATAAGCACTATGTATACACTACAAATTACTTCTGAGAAAAGAGAAGAAAAACTACTACATAATTAAGAATTCAAAAGAAAACCCAACAAAAATTAGCAAAAAGAAAACCTTACCTGAAGTGGGAGAAGATTGTGAGAAGTGAAGAAGAAGAGTGGTGGGGATGGAATTGGCGGTGAACTTTGGGGGTAATTAGGGATGGGATTATTTGGGAATGGGAAATGGGCTGTGTTTGAGTGGAGAAGGAGGGTTTTAGATTTGGGGGAGAAAAGGGGTTTGAGGCGTGAGGGTGGAAGAGGGGGGGGGTTAGGGTTGGGTTAAATCACTAATACACTTAAAATACAAAATAGTAAAATAATAAAAAATAAAAAAAATTAATGTTAACTTATACAAAGTAACAGGAGGAACGACACTAGTGCAGTTGTAGCGCGGACCCGCTAGCAAAACAGAAAACTTGGCCATATGCGCGGTCACTAGCGTGGCCTTATCGAGACCGCGCTCCTGGGTGGAAAGCTGAGGCAGAATACTTGGCCATTGCGCGGCCTTAGCGCGGTCTGAGCGCGGGCGCTCTCCTGGGCCTCAAAAAATATTTCAACTTTTTTACCTTTTCCTTCAGCGTCTAATGGACTTATCACTCGCCCAAGTTCACCTGCATCGGTTAATACTTACTAAAATAAAAAAAGAACAATTCTAACTACTCTAAAGTCACTACTCATTGGGTTGCTTCCTATGCAGCGCCTGATTTAGCGTCGCGGCACGGCACAGATGAGCAC